CATTTCAGAGGGGACCTGCTGGAAGGGCGTGGTGCGTGTCGGCAGTCGTGGGGCCATGGGCGGACTGGCGGTGGCCGTCGTGTTGTGCGCCAGGGAACTCCAAGGAAGACCTGGCAGAGCCACATTGGAAGAGACGCAGGAGCCATTTGGACGCACGTTTGCCCCCTCAGCGCCTTCTTGGGCGATCGGGAGCCCAAAAGGCGAGAACGCCGAAATCCGCCAAAATCCATCCCAAATCTATGAATTCGGCTCTTGCGGCCCTGCAAGGGGTCATGTTGGATCCAGTCGGGGTAACGCGGGGAGCCTCTTGGGCCGCCTTGGAGACAGCAGGAATTGCAGCGGGACGCTGTTGTGAAACGTTGGGACTATCGGACCGTCTTGGAACCCCTTTGCGGCCCTGAGGACTGGTCTCTCTTGCGGCTCGGGAATATCCATGAGGGCGGGACGATGAGGTCCGAAAGGGACGGAGTGGCATTCTGGAGGGGGCCTCCAAGGAGGTCGTTGTATGTTTCTGATTTCTGTCGTGGGTAAATCAAAACTCTGGCGCCAGCGTGTGTCACGGCTATGCCGGAGAGGAAGAGAAGGAGGGAGGAGAAGAGGAAGTCGAGGCAGGGGAACGCGGAGCAGGAATGAGAGAATGGGGGTAGAGGGGGGGAAGACCATACTTGCGCCTCTTGGGGCATGCTGCTGGGGTCTCCAGCACTGAGCACGCAGGGCGCTGGTAGATCCAAGCGAGGTTGTTGCTGAGTCTGGTGGTTGCCAAGTGGCGATGGAGTCTGGATATTCTCACACGCGCAAAACTTCGGAAACATCATTGACCACATGGCAGCATGGAATAAAGAGGGCGAATGCTCTGTCGCCTGCAACTAGTTCGGTCAACCTGACGCGCCCAGGCGCGAGTGTCAAACCGACTGACAAGCTGAAGAATCCCCGCTGAGGAGAAAGGGCCCGCAAAATGCGAGACTCTTAGTATTTGAGGCACGCGAACAACAGACACCCTGACTAGACCCAGCGTTCCGCCACCGTGAAAGAAGGAATACAACTGCACGTAGGTCCTCTCGGCGGCTGGCAGATGTACGTATGTGATTCATGTCTGCCCTTGCTGCATGTTCGTAGCATGTGCTACTGACAGATGCATGCTGTACTATCTACATGTGGGTCGCGATGTCTGGTCTTGTTGTATGTAACCACCGCGTGCTGTTAGCTTATGCTGTCGGTGTGTGTGATTGTCTTGTAGTATCGATGTATGTCAGTGGCGTACGTGGCTGATCTCGGTTCGTGTCGCATGTTGGTGATGCGTGTGGCTGAGACTTGTTATTGTATGTTCTTGGTGGCTGATGATGATCCGTGTCTGTAGTAGATATCGCTCCTGGATGTGATTGACGTATACGCCTGATGCGTGCTACTGATGTGAATGCCTTATGTGTGCTAAAGATGTCTGCCGCTGGTGCCTGCTCTGAATGTACATCAGGGGTGTCTGTGACTGAGTTCCTCTTGAACCACTTTAGAAGCGTCTTGGAGAACTCTAACTGGGACGCCTCTCGGGGGCCGGCTGGTGGTCTCGGCCTCTTGGGGCCCTTCTTGGGTGCGTCGTGGGCGTTCGGGGGGGGGGGCGTCTTGAGGCCCTCTTGGGCCATCTTGAGGCGATATGGGAGGCACTGGGCGATCGCAAGCGAAAAAACATGAGAACCCAAAACATGCATTCAAAATCCGACGTGCATCATTGAATTCGGAATGGTGCCATCTTGGTGCCGTCTTGAGGCCACCAAATGACTCTGTCATCCATCTACTGAGCGGAAGAGACCCGCAAACGGCCGAAAACGGGCCTTGGACCCCTTGGGGCAAACTTGGTAGGGGGCCCAACACTCTGACAGGGTAGACAAAATCCATCTATCTATGCAAATGGTTACATATATATATATACACATACATTTGCAGATCGGTATACGAACATACACATACAAACACATTCACTGGAACCATCGCGAGTTTCGCGCGCGCTCGAGTTCTAGACGAAGTATCGGCGGAGCCTGCTACACTAACACGCGTTGGGCCTCTTGGAGGCGTCATGCAAGCCTTCTTGCAGACTCTTTGGGGAGCCTCTTGAGGCCTCTTGGGCCATCTTCGGTGGACGGAAACTAACAAGAAGGATTGGCAAAGTCCTGCAATACCCAAGCCTTTTGGACGCCTCTTCGGGGCCTCGTGGGTGCCTCTTTGGATATCCAGGAAGCCTCTTGGGGCATCTTGGGGCGACTCGGGGCGCCTTTCGAAGATATCTTTGGGCCCCAGTGGGGGTCATGCGGCAGCCCCTGCCAGAAGCGTATTGCAAACGAAAAAACAGGAAGACGCGAATTATGTAATACCTTCCACAGTGCTTCACAATTGGCCTCGCGAGGCTTCCTTGGAGCTCTCTCGGGCGGTCTGAGGAGCCTCTTGGGCGCTGGTGGGGTCTCTTGGGCTGTCGGAAAGAAGGCTTCGTGGGCCGCCTTGGAGCACTCTTGCCTGCGTCAGCCGTCGTGACGCCCTCCCTGGACGTACTTGGAAACCCGAGAAGGCGGTACCAGGGATTTGCCGAAGATGTTCGGGAAGTTGGCGGGGTCCTAGGGAAAGGGGGGGCGTTTTCATTCATATGCTGCATACAATTTCATGTTCACACCCTAGCAGTGACACCCTCACCCTAACACTGACACCATTTTCTTTTGCACGAGGCAGAGCCCCCGCGTGGACTCTGGCGCGTCCCCGATCCTGTGCCGGAAATGCAAGATCCCGTAGCGGAGATGCCTGCAATGTTCTCTTGCGCAGGGTGTCTAGAACTCCGACCACTCTCTTCGGGCACGGCAGCGCCCCCCCAGCCACCTCCGCATCACCCCAGCCACCTCCGCATCACCCCGCCCACAAGCCAGCGCGCCACCTCCGCCCCGACCGACCTTTTTATTTCGGCACGGCACCGCCCCCCCTCCCCCATCCCGCACGCGCCCCTTCCGCATTCCCCCACCCGACAGCCAGCGCGCCCCCTCCACCCCGACCTGTCGGCACGGCATCGTCCCCCCCCATCCTGCGCGCGTCCCTTCCGCATCGCCCCACCCACCAGCCAGAGCCCCCCCTCCGCCCCGGCCGCTTTATTTCGATACGGCACCGCGCCCCCCATCCCGCGCGCCTCTTCCGCATCACCCCACCCACCAGCTAGCGCGCCCCTTCCGCCCGGACCTTTCGGCACGGCACCGCCCCCCCTTCCCGAACGCCCCCTTTGCATCATCCCGCCCACCCCCATCACCGCATCCTCCATCCAGCGCGCCCCCTCCCCCCCGACTGCTTGATTTCGGCGCGGCACCGCCTCTCCCACCCCGCGCACCCCCTCTCCGCACCCCCCCCCCCCACCAGCCAACACATCCCCTCCGCCCCGACCTCCTTATTTCGGCGCGGCACCGCCCACCTCGCCTCTATCGCATCCCACACCCACCAACCAGCGCGCCCCCTCCGCCCCGACCTCTTGATTTCGGCACCGCACCGCCCCGCCCCGACCGTTTACTTAGGCCCCCCGCATCCTCCCACAGACCAGCCAACGCGCCCCCTCCGGCACGCGACCCGTCCGCATCCCCCCACCCAACAGCCAGCGCGCGCCTTCCGCCCCGTCCTCTTGATTTCGGCACGGCACCGCCCCGCCCCGACCCCCTGCTACCTCTGTAATGGGGGGAAACGATAAAACAAATCTGGGGCGGACGATTGCGAGAATTGTTTTGCGGGCCTCCTCGCCCCCGCAATAGCGAGGGGGCAGGGCAGGCAAACGGGGGGCTGACAATTCCGGGTTGCCTGGAAGGCCGGGGGGGGGGGGGGGGGCACGGGGTGGCGATCCAGGGCGCGGGGGCCACGGGGGTGGACGGGGTGATTTTTCAGGGCGAGCTCGTCCCCCTCCTCCTCCGCCTCCTCCTCCTCGTCCTCCTCCTTCTTCTCCTCCTCCTCCTCCTCCTCCTCCTCGTCCTCCTCCTCCTCCTTTTCCTCCTCCTCCTCCTCGTCCTTTTCCTCCTCGTCCTCCTCCTTTTTATCCGCTTCCTCCTCCTCGTCCTCCTCCTGTTCGTCCTCCTTTCCCCCCCCCCGTCCACAAGGACGAAGGTGGTCCTCCTCCTGTTCGTCCTCCTCCCCCTCCTCCTCTTCCTCCTCTTCCTCCTCCTCCTCCTCCTCCTCATCATCCCCCACCCCCCAATCGGCGCGGCCGTCCGCAAGGACGACCGGCGGCCGTCCGCAAGGACGAGGGTGACCAAGCGCCTCTTCGAAAACCCCTTCCCTCAACTACTCCCTATTACCCCGCCCCCCCTCCGCAATCCTCCCTCGCCCCGCGGCCGCGGGAGATCAAGCGAGCGAAGGAGGACGAATAGAAAATCAGTTCCCCCAGAGGGGCAAAAGCAAACGCCGGGGGGCGGACGATTAAAAAAACAGTTTCCGGCGGCTGAATTCTATTAGTCCGCCCCACTCAATCATGGGGGGGGGGGGGGGGGGGGGGGGGGGGGGGGGGCGATTGTTTTAATCGTTGCCCCCAATTATCGCCCCACCCACCAGACAGCGCGCCCCCTCCGCCCCGACCTCTTGATTTCGGCACGGCACGACCCACCTGCGGCCCGACGCTTCCTTTCCGGCACGGCACCGCCCCCCCCCGCTTCCCCCGCGCCCCTTCCGCATCACCCCACCCACCAGCCAACGCGCCCCTTCCGCCCCGACTTTCTGATTTTACCGGGGGGGGGGAAGGGTCGCCGTGGGCACGGCCGCGAAGGGCACGATAGTCACCTCGATCAGCTTGGCGCCCACGTCGAGCTCGATGAAAGCGGTGGCGAGGCAGACGACGTCGGGGACGGAGTCGAGCAAACCTCCTCCCTCTGAACCTTGCCACCGCAGCCCCCGTGGGGGCTAGCTGCCCTCGGGGGCAGCCTCAGCGCTGCGGCCGCGGCCACGGCCGCGCCCTTGGCCCCGGCCGCGGCCGGCGCTCTCGCCTGAGCCCCTGCCGCCGCCGCCGCCGCCCTGCGCCAAATGGCCCGTCTCCTCGTGCCAGAGGCGCATCTGCTTCAGGCGTTGCGCCTCGTCTCGCTGCAGGCTCGACACGAAGCTGCCGAACTCGGGGAGCAGGGCGCGCCCGTCCTCGCCCAATGGCGCCGCGAAGATGCACTCCAAGTTGGCGAGGTTGGGCACCTTCGGGCTGCGACGAACGGCGGTCTCCACCTCGTAGAGCCACCGACTGAGGTAATCGACGCCTGCGACGTTCGCCGGGTCGACCTCGTCGCAGGAGAAGATCATCGCCAGCGTCTCGCACACCCGCCGATGGATGCGGCAGACGACGCCGTTGACGTTCACGCCGGACTTCGTGCGCCCGTCCAAGTGATGGCTCACAAAGTCGTGGTTCGCCGATATCAGAGCGAGCTGGACCTCTGGCGCGGCCGGCTCCCCCTGGAAAGGCTAGCCCGGGCGATTCGCCGGCTTCGAGGGCTTGGCAACCGTCTGGGAACTCATGTGCGGCAAGCGCCCGATCCGCTTGTCGCCCAGCAGCCTTGGGTCCTTGCCGGGACCCGTGGCTTTCAAGCGCATCCACTCCGCCAAATTGGCCTCCTCGACCAGGGCGGCGGACACCCAGGTCTCGTCGATACAGACGAGGGCGGTCGACTCGCGGATGACCATCTGCTGCCCGTCGCCGATGACCCCCTCCGGGATCTCGTAGCCGAAAGCCTCGTGCACCGAAGTCAGAGACCCGCCAGCGGCCCCCCTGCGGCGCGGCGCCCGCGGCCCCGACCAGGCCGAATACCTCGAGGAGGTCGCAACCAGCGCGGTGCATGCGGGCGAGGTGCTCGGCTTCAATCGGCACGTCGAAGAAGTAGGATCTCGTAGCCGAAAGCCTCGTGCACCGAAGTCAGAGACCCGCCAGCGGCCCCCCTGCGGCGCGGCGCCCGCGGCCCCGACCAGGCCGAATACCTCGAGGAGGTCGCAACCAGCGCGGTGCATGCGGGCGAGGTGCTCGGCTTCAATCGGCACGTCGAAGAAGTAGGTCTCGGGAAGATAGCAGATAGCGACGAGGCAGGTCCTCGTCGCGGCCGGGAGGGATGACCCCGTGCTCGGACAGCTCGGTGACTTGAACGTCGAAGTCTGGAGTCCCAACTATTCATGTCCCTGGCGACGGACTCGCGACAAGCACGATACGGCCGTGATACCTCTATCCGTTAGGATCGTTCCAAAAACTGATAAGCACCTGGCGTTCAGGAGTGTCCAAGCTCTTAGACATTGGTCCTCAACGACGATGGCGTAACAGCTGCCCTGGTAGTGGCGGCCTGCACGCTGACCTCCGCGGGGGCGTCGTCCAATGCGACCTGGCAAACGGTTTCGCGTGGACGCGGCGCCGCAGCGCGGCGGGTAAGGGATAAGCAACACGACGTGATAAGTGTGAGCAACGATCCCACCGCACAGCCGAAAATGAAGAAAAGCGCCAGCGAGACCTGCGAGCAGCTCTCGTCCTTCGGGGCGTCGCAAGTCTCCCGCAGCTGCGACCGCACCAGTGAGCACTCCTGGTACGCGTCCTGGATCACGTTCAGCGACCTCGTGAGGGTCGGGACCACGTCGTCGGGCGGCGCCGACCCAGCACCGCAGGCCTCGACGGCGCAGACACAGGCCGGGCAATCGGGCGGCCCGCGGGCCAGAAGGACCAGCTGGAGGGTCGAGGCGAAGACGTGGTAAGCAGCCTCAATCCGACCCGGATCGACCATCCGGGATTTCATGAGCCGCTAAATAGCAGCGGAACGGACAAGAGTTGTTTCCGTTTCGTTTCGCTGCGAACGGTGAGCTACACTGCAAGGGGGGCAATCGAGGTCAGTGACAAATTATGTGTATGTATGTGTGCATGTGTGGATGTATGTATGTATTTATGTAGGTAGGTAGAACGGTAGGCACGTAGGTATGTATGCATCTATGAATGTGGTTATGGACATATGTGTCAACATGTATATATGTGTGGATGGCTGTGTGTATGTGCATTTAAACATATATATATATATGGATGCATGTATGTGTGGATGAGCGTGTGTTTATGTTTACATGCCCGTATGCACGGGATGTGTATATGTATGTGTAGTTGTGTATGTGTATGTATGTATGTGTGTATGTGTGTATGTATGCATGTGTGTATGTATGTATGTATGTATGTATGTATGAATGAATGTATGTGTGTGTATGTATGTATGTCTGTCTGTCTGTCTGTCTGTCTGTCTGTATGTATGTATGTATGTATGTATGTATGTGCGTATGTATATATGTATGTATGCATGTAGGTGGGCTGGTAGGTATGTATGTATATATAGTTATGTAGGTAGGTATGCATGTATGTACGTATGTATGCGTGTTTGTGTGTATGGATGCATGCATGCTTGTGGTTGCGTATGCATGTATGTATGCATGTAAGTATGCACGATTGTATATATATATATATATACATGTATGTGTATACATGCATGTATGTGTATGGATGTGTGGTTACGTGCATGCATGTATGCATGCATGAATGCGTGCATATGTGTATGTGTGTGTATGTATGTATGTGTGTATGTATGTATGTATGTATGTATGTATGTAGGTATGTATGTATACATGTATGCATGTATGTATGTATGTGCAAATGTACATCAGGTTACGGCGCTTGACATCGAAACCTTCTCTGGAAGTGTCGGGATATCTTCACGCGGACTGCACGCCAACGGGTCGGCCTGACACCCTGGCTTGACCTTGGCCAGCATGCACATCGGCAAGGCCTTCTTGATAAAGGATGCGGGTGGCAACTGGAGGGCTGGAGCAACCGGTTTGCTTCACACCACCTCCAGGGGATGCTGTTGCTCTGATGGGCCGATGTCTCACCACCACTACCATAGGTAGGAGAGGGAGGAGGAGGAGGAGGAGGAGGAGGAGGAGGAGGAGGAGGAGGAGGAGGAGGAGGAGGTAATGGTGGTACCTATGGCACCTCGTCGCCGTCCTACATATGGTTGTGGTGGTGTAAATTGGGCCCATCATGTTCTGCACACTGTCACTGGGCTCTCTGACTACGGCGAGAACAACCACTGCTCACGATGCCCCAACCCGCGACGGGGAGTGCTAGACTGTACAGGCATGGGCGTGGAAACGAGGTTTGCGTCATCGGAGCATGCGACGCACAAAACTGTTGAAACGGGTATCAACACACCACCAAAGAGAAACATCGCAGACACGTATCTCTCATACTTAACGGCAATTGGCCTATGAGAAATGCTTCGCGAAAGAGATAGTACGTGGACTCGTACGCGGGAAGCGTTCCCTTGTGCGCCCCTCTTTGAAACTGGTGCGAGAACTAACAAAGATAAGCCTGTACTTCTAATGCTTTCCTATGTTTCTCAAATTGTTCATCAGTTGCGCTGACAGGCAACGCGACACACAACCACAATGGCAAGTGCTCGTTCGTTCAGAGACCTCCGGCTTTTCGAATACACGACGAAACGTCGTAGGAATACCAGCACGTAGAGACATAAAGGTGGGACGATCATATATGAATGAAGCTTTGAGAAAACACTGCGGTCCAGCATGCGCAAAGTCCTCATGCGAAGCACATGGTGGACTACAAGCTGTGATATTATACATGCCACATACCTGGAACAGAGCTAGCGCTTCCAAAGGCTTCTGATTGTGCTCCTTATATGTTTTGACAATGCTCGGCCGTGTGATTGAAACCGTGCCCGCTGTCAAACCCATCGCAACCACAACAAACTGAGGTCGTTCGTGTGACTGTTGGTGCGATCTATCGCGCCACGGTTCGTTGCGCATGTTGCCTTAAGGCGCGGCTCGATGGCCCAGAGAACATAAAACACGATACATCACCCTGACTGCTAAGTAGCGAACTCAAGAAATCACCTTTGGAGGACCATACATCACCTTAACAACCGACCCGAATCATCAAACAACTATGAAACTGAACCACCACCTCCCTAACAAAAATCCAACCAGACATCGAACACCGTAAGAACTTGGAAATCGCATACGATATGTCAGACAATCGTGAATGTATTATGATGTGTGGAGGCCGCGAGCTCCAACTGCTCCAAACTGCAACAGTATGCAAGTATAAAAACAACAATGACATTCGCACATGAACGAACCTACATTCCCAGAGGCCCCCTCATAGGCCGCGTTAAGCATACCAACGCGTACTTCAAACGGTCATGCATTTGCACTGCAAAATAAAAAGGTTCACCGAAAGAAACACAGACCGTCGATACGGACTGGGGCGCTATGACAGCACAGTGCCATGGGCATCAAGCATTGTCTTGGAAAGACGCGCCTGAAGCTGCGAAACACCATCGGGACCACGTGAACTCGCAATGGCATAGCCGGAGGGGCAGCCAGGCATATACTGATACACGATGACCCCCTCCTGGCCGTTCCAGAGGATGTTCGCCGCACGTAAGGATGCGAAGATGCTGTCGATGGAAGGTCCCTTCAAGGGAATTGTCCACATTCCAGTGAAGACGGTCAACGGTGAATCCGAAAGGCTGGCCCACAACCGGACGGCCAAGTTTCCATTCGGGCGTCCCATGTTGATGTCCACGATGACTGCGTCGCCGCCCTTGTCGATGACAAAATCGAGGCCCCAATTACTTGTCATGCCCCAGGTCTTGTTGATCTCCTGAGAGGCTTTTACGCAAGCGCTGAAGAGGTCGTCATCCTGCAGCACGGACGGGAACCTGTTCCCCAGATTGGTGGAGCAGTCGTCTGCGAGCACCTGATCGGCGAAGGGCCCGCAAGGTGTGTCCCCGAGCATGTAGAGCGTTGGGGACTGTGGCGCGTCCCGTCCGACGATCATCTCCTCCAGGATCGCCGAACCCCCAGACGGCCCGAACGCGAAGGCGTCCAGATGGGCCTCCGACGCATCGAGCACGACGCCGCAGCCCCCAGAACCCTCCGTTGGCTTCAGGACGAACCTCACGGGGAGACCAAAATAGGAGGGAAGAAAATTCACCCCGACAATATAACCACCCCGACACGCGAAGCCGTGTAGTAAACGCGCCCGAAGAAGGAACCAAACAGGGCAAGGCTGCTTAAGAAACGCCCAGGGCCGTTTCGCAAACGCCAATTGTCTGGTCTGGGTGGTTTTTCCTCGCTGGACATAAGGTACCGATACCGTTACTCCCTGGACCTCTCCTGGTGTGCGTTGTGACAAGGATTTCGAGGCGAATCCAGCGGTGGCGACGAGGGCCTCCCAGGAGGCATGACAAGAGGAACACGGCCGAAAGGCAGAGGCATGGGCACCTCTTCCTCCTCCCGGGGAGCCTGGTCCCGGCTGGGCACTCCCGACGCAGCTGCGCCAGAGCCTCCCGCAGCTCCTCCGCGCTGTCGGCCACGAAGCCCTTTGGCGCCCGGACGCGGCCTCCCAGGCCCGAGAGGACGGCGCGTAGGCAGGAGCGCTCGCGGGCACCGACGGGCGGGTGGAGCCAACCTTCGGATTGACCAGAGGACTGGAGGCCTGGAGATGGGCACCAACACCAAGACAGGGGGCTGCCTCCACGGGGGGGAGACGATCCTAGACTTCGGTATTGGTGGTCATTTTTCGGTCACCTTGGAAGCCAGAATATTACCGCCATCACCGAGATCGGGATCTTCTTCCCACGGTGGAGGAACACCGCCGATATTGGTGTTGGTGTCAACCTCTAGGCCCGCGAAAGGAGGATCCTTCAACCCTTGATGAGGGGACCTAAGTTCGGAGAGCCGAAAATATCAGGGACAGGGGGCCATTTTCTGCAGATGTACCGAAGCAAATCGCCAAGATCGACGATCCCTAATGCACAGAACCTCAGTGAGGCCACGTCTTCGGTGTTATTAAAGTCAGGGGTTATTTGATCATCGGTGACCTTTGGCCGCGCTCAGAGGCATGAGCCTGTGGTCTTCGGGGTCCCCAATGATCGGCATGTCAACTTTCGTGGCTTCCAGCGCGATCTCGGACAGCCAATACATCGGGTAGAACACCACATTGGGAGAGCCGACCATCTGTGCCAGGACCTCCCTGCAGACTTCCAAGGCAGGGTCGTCAACGGCGCTGGATCCTTCGAGCCTTGCTGGGGGCGGACACCTAGACACCAAACCGTCTATGCGCAAACAGGCGCGCGAAAAGTTTGGCAAACATCGTAAGCTTGTTGGGCTGTCCCCCCGGCTTGGTGTGCAGATTGGCGCCGCGCACAGCGGGAGTATGGGGGAGCGGGGAAGGCCCCTTAGAATGAGACCGCTTCTTGGAGGGCGCAGGCCTGACATATGTGGACAAGGCCGGCGCCTTCTGAGAAGCAGGAGTGTTTCTGAGAAGCCTGCCCCTCCCCCCCTGCAACCGGCCCGTATCATAAGGATGCGCGGCAAGGATGCAATGGCCTTGGAGGCCCATGTCAACGTTCTTTGAACGAGGCTGGCCAGCGAAAGTGGCCAGGGCTGTGCCGGAGGGGCAAGGATGCAAGAGCATCCTTGGGAAAATTGCCCATCCTTACCATGCGGGTCGATTGTGCCCCCCCCTCTGCGCGTGGCCGGCTCTTCCCGCCTTGGGTGGAACCACACGGCCTGCTGGGGGCCCAGCCCGTGCGCCTCGCTCCAGCAGCTCCAGAGCTCTTCGGCCTCGGGTAGCAGCGGGAGCGCGACGAAATCCACCTTGCGGGGCTGCCCAGAGGGCAGTTTCCCGGTGACGACTCCAAGCGTGGCGGTCAACATCTGGAAACCTATTCCCCGACCCCTCAGGGTTCCTCGGCGTGTGAGGCAGTTGCCCCTCCTCGGAACGCCTCCCCTGGGACCTTGGTCTGGCCCATTTGGAAGGGGAGGGCGGGGTTCCGCTGGTGGGGCCGATGCACTCACTCATCGCGCCTGGCAACGCTCCGAGACGGCCAGTCTTAGGTCGGGCATGTCCTTGTTTGAAGGAAACGGAGAAGTCAAAACAAACCAAACACAGTCAACAATCAATCGAAACATGGTCCCCGAACTATTTAAATCATTCTTGAATATTACTTCTGTTAAGAGAAATGCCTGACTTAAGGCCATTAGACGGGCAAACAGGGGCGCACACTGCTCCAGCTGGTCACCGAATCGCCCACGTTTACTCACAGGCGGCCTCAGATGGCCTTAGCCCTGGAGGCCCCCGGCACGCCTCCAGTTAGAGCTCCATCAGGACCGCCACGATGGCCCCAGAAGGAAAACCAGGTCCAAAGCCTTTAATCCGACGTACACGTTCACAGCCTTCGTTACGAAGGCCCACGCAGCGTCCACGACGGCCTAATGTCAGCTTGTGGTTAAAAAATCCGGGGGGGGAACCACGGGGCGGCGCCTGCCAGATTGAAAATCAACAGCGGCGGCGCCGGTGATTAGCGCCGACGCCCAGCCGCCAACGGGAAGGGGACAAACCACACAGACTGGGGGAGGGGAGGGGGGCGGGATAAAGGCGGTAGAAGCAGGGACCGTGAGCCAGGGTGACACCTGTTTGAAATGAAGACGAACTGCTGTCAGCGCTCGCCCCCGCACTTTCCGTGCTTTTTTCTGTCGAACCGATGCGCGTCCTTTGCCATGGCCGCAGCCAGGGGGGCGCCAGCTGCCTCGCGGGGCGGCGAACAAGGCGGGCTGTACGAAACGGGGGCGTGCCAAGAGGGGATTCGCCCAGCAGCCTGCAATTTTTCGAAAGCCCCCTGGCGCCGAAAGCGGCCATGCATCGAGGACTGGCCGCTCGGCGGGGCGACCGAAACCAGCTGAGCGCAGCAGGTTTCACAACCCCGCCTTTCGTTCCCCAGCCTTTCGTCGTCCGACCCGACCGAGCAAGGCGGGCAGTCCTCCTCCCCCCTCTGTCGTGGTCTCTGTAGTCGTCGACGACAACGGCGACAACAACGACGACCACGACGAGGACGAAGACGAGGGCGAGGACGAGGAAAACGGACATCGGAGGGCAGGCGGCGACGGCGGAGACTACGACGACGCAGTGCGGATGCCGTGTGGGGGGGCTGCGCAGGCCCGTTGTCGACGACGACGACGACGACGAGCACGACGACGATGACGACGCGACCACGACGACGACGACACGACGACGACGACGACGACGACGACGACGACCACGACGACGACGACGACGACGACGACGACGACGACGACGACGACGACGACGACGACTACGACGCACTGCGGATGTTATGGGGGGGTGCTGCGCAGGCCCGCTGTACTCCACGACGACGACGAAGACGACGACGACGCATAAGAGGGGGAAACAAATTCGCCTCGGATGTGTACGACCCCTAGAACAACTTCTATACGAAAGGCAATCGTTCTGGGGCTGTCATGCAGGGGGGTACATGATCCCCTCGGCGGCGCCAGCGACGACCCCCTGGCGCACGTGATTGAAAAAATGTTTTGCGCTCCGCGGGGTCTACTCATCGGCCCCAGGGGGAGGTGGGGTCATGTGTTAATCACAAGCTGGCATTACGAGGCCTCCAGAATCGCCCCCAAGACTGCCCACCAGGCAGCCAAGAGAGCCTCAAAACCGACCAAAATTGCCCACGAGACTCCTATGACGGCACAAGCACACAAGACGGCTCCAACAGGGGGCCAAGAGAAGGAACCCGAGGGCGCCCTGGTGCAAAACTAGCTCCAGGCACCGCCCAGCCAGAAGTTCCCAAGAAACCCAACGGGCACTCCAAGAGGCCTCCAAAACGGTCCCAGGAGGCACCCCAAGAGACTCCGGCACAGGCCCCCACGATGGGGCCCAGGACGGAGAAAGCCAAGGGCTCCTGGCCACCGATCCCCACAGTAGCGGCCCCAACACTCAACACGTCCTCCCGGGACTCCACACGTCCTCCCCAATGCCCCAGGAGGCCTCTGCAAAGCGAGAGCTGCGCGCGAGTGGACAGAGGGACCTCAAACTGGTTTCCAATGCCGTGCCAGCAACGTCGCTCGCTATTGGCCCCGCAGCTTTGCTCCAGAGGGGTCGGCAATGCGACGCAAACACGTCGATCTTGCAACTTTCCCACAAGAAACTCGTAGGTACCGATACTGCTACTCCCCTGACCTCTCCCAAAGCGCATTCTGACGAGAATTTCGAGGCGAATCCAGCGGTGGCGACAAGAGCCTCCCAGGAGACCCAAAAAAGGGGACAACGAGGCAAGGTTAGAGGTACCTCTTCCTCCTCCGATTGCCTGGGCTTGGGGGAACTTTCCTCGGGCTCTGGCTCGTCACGGAAGAGCCGCCACGGGGAAACACGCCTCTTCTGGGTTAGGAGGCGACTACTGGGAGGTCTTCGTCGGAAGGATTAGGGAGGATTGAGTCCCACTGGGGGGCTGTTACGCCGGAATGGGCCTCGGATTCGGCGGGATCCAGCCGGATGAAACCAGACTTCGGACCGGGGCAAACTCAGAATTTGACCTCCCAAGAGTTGCATCCGAATCTGGGGGCCGCCCTGGACCTGCGGGCGCACCCCGGGGAGGCACCGCGTGGTCCGCTCGACGAGCTGCGCCCGGGCCCAGGAGCGGGAGCGGGGCCACCACCCGAAGAGCACGGCCGACCCCGAGCCGCGCAGGAGCCGCCCGTAGAGGTCGTCGAGCGCGTCGTGCATGGTGGCCAAGGAGCTCTGCGAGCGTATCCCGAGCGAGAGGTTTGTCGACGCGTCGCTCGCGATGGGGCAGCCACTGGGCAGTTCGGGGGTGTCTTGCATGACCGGGGGGAAGCGGGTGGTAGTGGTAATTCGTTGTGGCGCGAGGCGGAACCGCAGCTGGGAGCTCGCGGGCAAAATTGCGGCGAAGGTGCTCGGGTAGCATGGTGGCATTGGCAAGTGGCACTGGAGTATTCTTCTCTGTTGCGCTGCCATGCGTATATGTTGTTAGTGGCTGTGGGGCTCGAGCTCATTGTCAGGTGGAAGCAGGGATCGGTCATGCGTAACTGTCTCGAATAATGATGCCGATGCTCATAAGTAAGTTCACGCTTGCACTCACAAGTGATGGCTAAAAAGAAACGCAGGGACATGCCATAGGACGCGCCAGTGGGCGCGCCGGGGGAGGCGGCAGTGGACGCGCCAAGAGACAGGACAGTGGAAGCGCCAGGGGACACGCCAGGGGACGTGCCGACGGACGTGCCATGGGAGGCCCCCAGGAAGACAATTACCAGGGGGACGCGCCGCCGACGTGCCAGAGGACGCGCCAGGCCAGAGGACGCGCTGGGGCACGCGGCTGCGGCACGTGCAAGGGGACGATCCACCCTGCTCTGCAAGAGTCGGGGAGAACTGAGACTCGGGTTCGGGGGACTCGGGTTGGCCTGACGGGGCCAACATGAAAACGGCGAAACCCAACCTGAAATTTGCCCCGAACACTGGACCGTAAAAAGCCAGGACGCGCTCGTCAAAAAGCGTCGGCAAACCCGAGCTCTGGCGCAACTACTCGAGCCCGACGTTTCCACGAAAGAGGTGTGGAAGGTTACTGGCACCTGTGATGCGAAAGGCAGCGGACGGTAGCGGATGCTGATGCTGCTGCTGCTGCTGCTGCTGCTGCTGCTGCTGCTGATGATGATGATGATGATGATGATGATGATGATGATGATGATGATGGAAGGTTGCCGGCACCTGTGATGTGAACGGCAGCGGACGGCAGCGGATGGGAGCGCGGGGGTGGAAAGAAGCGCTGCAGGGGAGCTGCTGCTTTGCCTCGCTTTCTGCCGATGCCCCGCGCTCGGCATCCGCAGGCTGGGCGCGCCGGCGCTCGGCGCACGCGCGGGGCGGCGGGCAGGGGCAGCAGAGGAGATGGCAGCGAATCGGCTGCGTGCAGCTGGGCGAAAGAACAGCCCACGCCCGTGCCCAGAAGCCGTGGCCGGGTCGGAGGGAGGAGGGCTGGCTCCGGGTGTGGGTGCGGGCTGCCAGACCTCGAGGGCAGGAGAGCCCAGGATCGAACCGATACATCGGATCGGCAATCGAAATGAATCGGATCGGCGGAATCCGGCAGCTGAGTCGGGAGAAGTCGAATCGGGAAAAGTCGAATCGGCGGCAATCGGCAAACTAGTATGACTCCAATAAAAAATCGGAACCCAAGTAGGAATCCCATGTCGAATCAAATCGGAAACGGAAGCCATCGAAATCGAATCGAATCGAATCGGAGCAATCGAAATGAGCCTCGAGAAGGCTCCCGCTCGAGCGGGCACCCCCATCCGACAGCAAGCACCCTTAGCCTTTTCCGTCTCTCCTATGGGTATGGGCGCGCGCGTTGTTCGCGCGTCAGAACTAGTCTTGGGTCGGGCATGGCCCCCTGCAGACGTTTCCTCGAAGAAAAATTCAAAATAATCGGAAAGTGCTCGGAAATGTCTAGGAATAGTACGAAAAGCTTCCACATACATTCGTTCGGCTGATTTTTTCAATTTTCCTTCTGTAGAGGGACGCGCCCAACTTAAAGCTGGCCCTCTCGACGCCCCTCGGCGCCTGGAGCGGCCATGCATGCCGGGGGAAATGTGCTGAGCGGCGGGCTCGGACTTCAGGCGTCGCTTCAGCGCATGGGCCAATGGCTCAGGTTCAGAAGTGGAGCTTCCTCAGGGCGCCCCACTGAGCCGTGGTGATGTCCGAAGGTTTGTCGCCAAAGCTCTCACCTTCGCGATGTAGGTCTCGATGTACTGCGTCTGTTTCACGATCGTCGGGCTTGAATGCTTCTGGTCGGCTGCCGAATAGGGGTACCGTCGCGGGGAAAGATGTCTGCACCTTCGGCTCATCCACATAGATCGCGACCACCGTGTCGTTTGGATACCTCGCGGCCAGCTCGACCGTCGCGAAAATCGGGTCGTCCGCGTAGGCGTCGGAGAAGTCGGCCAGCACGCCATTGTCGGTGTGCATGGCGTAGGTGCGCCGCACAGCTCCGCGTGGCACAGGGATAGCCTCGTTCTGCCTCAGCACGCGCGCGTCGATGAGGTCCTTCTTCAGTTTGAACTCCTTGGCCACCGCGCGCATGGTCCTCTGATCCGGGACCTTCGTTGCATCGTCCCCGATACCCAGCTTCCTCGGGTCGGTGCGCCGCGCTAGCTCATGAGTACCGGCGCTCACCAGGGTCTTGCCCAGGTCGTCTGGCCAGGCGCTGGCCCGCGAAAGCAGCGCGCCTCGCCCGACCGCGTCGGCATGCTCGCGGCGCTGGTCACACTTGCGATCGATCCACCACGGCAAATATGAACCGCTGGGTACCAGCATACGCGTGGCCACAGTCATCCGCCAGTCCGAAAACGCACTGGTGTAGCGTAACCATCTCGCACAGTAGAGGTCGCCCACCGTGACAACACAACAGATCCATCGCCGGCTCCTCTTTCCAAGCACGGCTCGTGAGAGGGTTCTCGCCGATGCCGATGCGTCCGCCCTCAGCTTGAGTCCAGAGCACCTTCGCCGAAAAGTCAACCAGCGGCCTGAACTCATCGATGAGGTCGCCCACCAGGTCGCTCATGCACTGAGCTCGCTGAAACTCTTGCATATTCGAAAACGGTGCGCATGGGAAAGCGACCGAGACCATCCAGGGCTCGAAGGTCTTTATCAGGATGAGGAAATCCGACTGGGTCTGGGGGTCGTTGAAAAAAACCGACCGACAAATCCGAGGGGGTCGCGTGCGCATGACCGCCCTTCGAGGCTACGCGAGCGAAGCGAGCCTCCATCGCAAACAACTCCCACAGGGAGGTCTCCCGGTTGTCCCGCAGTACGTCGGAGATGACCACATATGCCTGCACCAACTTGTCGATCCGTTTGAGCGCACCCTTCTTGGATATGTCCTTGCTGCCGTTCTTCAGAGCCTCCGCTACCTACGAGTCGGCGTGCCCCTTCACCTGGAAGCCCAGCTCGTGCCCCTGCAGCGTCTCCGCGACCGGGAACGCGCCCGGCTCGAGCTGCGTCTCGTCCACGCGGAACCTCTCGAAGATGGGCTCCAACTCATGCGACTCAAGGTCGTAGTCGAGGAGGTCGAGCCCAGCGCGCCCTCCAGGCAGCTTCACCAGCCCCTTGCCGTGCACCCCGAGCTCCTGGAAGTCCGCCCAGTGGCCGTCCTCGCGCGCGTAGAGGTTCGTCCTCAACTCGGCGAAGTCCTTCCTGCTCGTCAAGCCGACCATGTCGCCTGCAGCACGCGCTTCGTCCCGATGCCCGCCGGGATGGTCCACTTCTGCTTTGGCTCGCGTCGTACTCCACCGAGTCCCTTGAACTTTTGGCGCGCCTCCACCATGATGGGCATGAGACAGTACTTCGCCAGCTCTGCCTCGACGCGATCGCGCCATCCGCGTCCTGCGACTGCGATCGAGGCCCCGCTGTCCACTAGGGACGCGGGCACGACGTCGCGGGAAATCATCACCTCGAGCTCGGGCCTGTCCGGCACGATCGGATCGCTGTCCAGGTTCACCATCGTGATGCCGTAATCCGTCTCGGGCTGCATGTGGATATAGTTCGTGTTCGGGCCTCGCATCAGGTGTCTAACGTCCACGCATGACGGTACTGCACACACACACACACCAGAGCGCTCATTGCCCAGAATCCAAGCCGTCGTGGACAAGGGGTCAACTTCGATCCTTTGCCGCGGCCCTTGCGTTTCGCGGGCTTCCCCGATTGTCCATTGGCCGGGCACTCCGATGAGTCGTGGTCCATCCGACCGCACCTGTTGCAGCGCTTGTCCTTCGACTTGCCGCCATCCTTGCCCTTTCTTTTGCCTTTCCCGGGGTTCTTGCCCACTGCATGACCGCCGGCTGCCACACTCTCGTCCACCGCGCCGTCGACCCTTCCTTTGAAGAACCCCCTTGCCGCCTGCAACGTGTTAATCTTGAGGCGGCTCTCTCGCATCGTGACTAGGGTCTGGTGGTAATCGTCATCTTCTCCAGCCATGAACGCGTCGGCCTCGTCCTCGAGGTAGAACAAGCGACTGCTGTCCCAGTCGCCTTCCTCGTCCTCGTCCGTGAACGTAAAGACTCCGTGATCATCGTCCCGTTCGTACCAGTACCCATCGTCGTCCTGGACCCAGTACTCACCGTTGTGCGGGTCCTCTCCATCAACTTGTCCATTATCGGTGTTGTTCGCGTGTATCGTCCGCTTCCAGCCCGCCCTGTTGCCCTGTCCTCGATGCCGGCTTCCGCCGCGAAGGAACATATTCTTCAGCGTTGTCGAGATCTTCACGAAATTGAACGTCTCATCTGCCCCCGCGATCACCAGGTTACGTTCGTCCTTGACCAAACCACTGCGCTTCAGCGTGTGGTACCCTGGCTCATTTGAACTTTTCTTCGTGTCCGGGTCCAGTTCTTCCAAGCTCCGCCTCGCCACCTCCATGGCCGTACAGAACGCTGCCATGGGCTCCCCACCTTTCGTCTCGAAGTGCGTGAGGTCGAAGAACGTGTCGGACGCCTTCGGCATTTCACGGAAACTGCTCTTCGCGAAGCGCTCGGTCTCCAGAAATGTCAGCAGCACATTCGCCCCGTCCTCTACGGCGTAGTCTCTCGGGTCCGTCTGCTCGATCAGCACGCTGATCTCGAGTTGTCCGCGAAGAGGAGGCTCCGATACAACTTCGGGCCAAGGGCGGTGCGTTGTTCCTTCGACTCACATCCTAGCCCCGCCGCCTGCACAGCCCTCTTGCACATGGTGAACTCCTTTCAGCGTCTCGCACTTCAGCACCGAGATCTTTTGAGCAACTGAACTGTTGTAGCTGTCTCCGCTCGCCATGGCTCGTGGGGATGGCTAATCCCCGCAATCCTGTCCTGGAGTCCGTGGGGCCAACCGCGGAGCTCCGCGACCAACCTCGT